CAAGCAAGCCTGGGGGGCATTTTCTTGACTGATGATTGATTGGTGTGGGAGGACCCAGACCACTATGGGTAGTGCCACCCCCAGGTGGGTGGTCCTGGATTGTCTAAGAAGGCCAAGGAAGAGCAAGCCAGTCAGCAGTGTCCCTCCATGGTCTCTGCTTCAGGTCCTGCCTTGACGTCACCTCGTAATAGACGACAAGCCGTAAAGTGAAATAAACCTCTCCTTCCCGGCTTGCTTTTGGCCATGGTGTTTATCCAAGCAACAGTAAACAAACTAGAACAGCGTGCTAAACAGTGACTCCGCAGACAAGTACAAAACTCCCGGTCCCCAGTGTCATATGGCCTGTCAGGATCAATAAAGGAAACGATGCATTTAAGACAAGAGACAGTAGGTGCTCAGTTCATGTTACCTGTGTTGATGCTGATTTTCCCCCAAACATGTAACATACATCTCTGGGTGAATCTGTCTTGTGCACTCGAAACCCCCACCTCCACCCCCAGCCAAAGACACGGTGTCCTTCTTCCTCAGATGCCTCCCGCGATCTTTTAGAGACTGACGCTCACAGAGTAGACTGAGCTAGCAGGTCCGTGAGCCCCAGGGATCCTTCCGTCTCTTCCACCCTAGCTACGATTACAAGTATGAGCCACCACTACTGGATTCTTGGGTTCTGGGGAGCAAATTCAGTTTCTCGTGCTTGCAAGGCAAGTCTTTTATTGACAGAGACGTCTCCCCAGCTTCTTTTTCTTTTCTTCCTCATCCTCTCCCCCTTCCTCCTCTGTCCCCATGCTCCAGAGGCTCCTCCTGGCTACTCCCGGCCTCCACCTCCCAACAAGCACTGCAATCACAGGTGTGACCACCACACTCTGCTTAGCTCCAGGTCACCATCCCTTAGCGTCATTCAGAAGCCACCCACACTTTAGAATCCACCCTGGAGCCACTGAGATGGAACAACAGGTAAGGGTGCTTGCTACCAGACCTGACAGCTGGAGTTCGATCCCTGAGCCTCTTACGGTAGAGAGACACATCCTCTGACTTCTACATGTTCACTGTGGGACACACATGTACACACACACACACACACACACACACACACACACACACACACACCCAACTAAGGTAGAAGGAACAGATAGTTTGATCCAGGCAAAATAATGAAACCCTGTTTCAACAGAAAAGAATCCAAGCTGGCGAGACAGTTCCATGGATGAAGTGCGGCCTTGTAAGCCTGAAGACCTAAATTCCATCCCTTGGTGAGCGCTTATCATTTCTGTACTGGGAAGAGACAGCGGCTCCCTGGAGATCACTGGCTAGCCAGGCTACCAAGGTCCAAGCCCGTGAGAGACCCTGTCTGAAAAAAACAGGGACACCCAAGGTTGCCAACTGACCTCCACAGGGATGTGCACATATGTGTAAGTACACACACACACACACACACACACACAAAGGGGCCAAGGGAATCTAATCCGAGAGTGGTGTGCAAAAGTGAGTTGGGGAAGTACGTCCCGAAGCTCTTGGATTTGGTGCTCTTGCCTCATAACCCACACAGAGCACATTAAACTATTAACAGAGAAGCCACACGCTTATTCATGAGGAAGTTAGAAGTCCCAGCCCCGGGCAACAGTAAAACCGCCCTGCTGCCCAAGATACTTGCCAGCCAGGCTCTGAATGGAGCAGGAGGCCCCTGCAGAGGGGAAGCCGGGGAGACAGCTTTAAAGAGACCAGGATTCCAGCTCAAACCCCACGTAGTCACACCAAGCAGGTCTGATGTTCCTGCCACCCCAATGGCTTCCAAGCTGGAAGAACTATACTGACAGGCAGAGCCCCATAGATGTATTGTGTCAAGGTTAATCTTGATTGACAAGTGGACAGGATCTAGAAGCACCCAGGGGACAAGCCTGTGTCTGCAAGGAAGTCTCTACATTGGTTAACTGAGGTGGGAAGACCTTCCCTGAAGGTGGGCAGCGCCATCCCATGGGCTGGGGTCCTGGGCTGCATAGAGAGAGCAAGCCATGTTGCAAGGACTTGGTCAAGGGCCAGGGAAACAGCCCAGTGGTAACACACTTGTCCTGCAAACGTGAGGAGCAGAGCTCTGATTCCAGCACCCCATAAATGACAGGCAGGGATGACAGCCTGCTTGGTAATCCCAGCCCTTGGGAGATGAGGAGGAAGATGCCCAGAACAAGCTGGCTTGATGAACTACATGAACGGGTGAGCTGTGCATTCAAATGAGAGACCCTGCCTCACTTGCCTCAAGGAAGCATGCAACATCAACCTCTGGCCTCCATACATATGCACAGATACATGCACTCATACACACGCTAACATGCAGATACACGTCCATGCACCACAGACACAAAAGAGAAAGAGAAAAGGCTCAGTTAGTAAAGTTCTGGCTGAACAAACATGAAGAGTTGTGTTCCATCCTCAAAACCCATATTAGAAAAAAAAAAAAAAAAAAAAGCAAGCACAGATGCATACACATAATTCCAGTGCTGGGGAG